TGTATAATGTCTGCTATGTTTATGATTGTATGTATAATGTCTGTTATGTTTATGATTGTATGTATAATGTCTGCTATGTTTATGATTGTATGTATAATGTATGTTATGTTTATGATTGTATGTATAATGTATGCTATGTTTACGATCGCCTATATATAATGGGTTTTTATGTTTATGATCGCCTGTGTATAATGTCTGCTATGTTTATGATTGTATGTATAATGTCTGCTATGTTTATGATTGTATGTATAATGTCTGTTATGTTTATGATTGTATGTATAATGTCTGCTATGTTTATGATTGTATGTATAATGTCTGCTATGTTTATGATTGTATGTATAATGTCTGTTATGTTTATGCTCGCGTATGTATAATGTCTGCTATGTTTATGATTGTATGTATAACGTATGTCATGTTTATGCTTGCGTATGTATAATGTCTGCTATGTTTATGATTGTATGTATAATGTCTGTTATGTTTATGATCGCCTATATATAATGTTTTTTATGTTTATGCTCGCCTATGTATAATGTCTGCTATGCTTATGATTGTATGTATAATGTCTGCTATGTTTATGATAGCCTGTGTATAATGTCTGCTATAAAATCAAAGTTAAATGACTTATCGCTGATTTCTATGACATCAAACCAAACGTAGGGGTCAGCTTTCTAATCGCCTACGTATAGTTTTAAGGTAATGGAGTAAAAATCAATGTGTCTGATCGTCTGTGTATTAATCCTTAAAAAATGAAAAAAAAGTCACTCGTTTTAGGAATTTTGAAAACACCACTTATCTCAAATTTGGAACAATAAAAAATCACAAAGAAATGAAAAGAAATATGTACAGTTTTCAAGTTCTATAGTTTATTTATAAAATTGCTTTCTAGTTTGCTGTTGCATTGCTTATTTTCAGAAGTCAATTAGAAGTAAGGAAATCGTCGAAAGACAATTCCAAGGTTTGCAGAAAGTGGTTCTAAGTGAGAAATTTGGTAGAAATAAGGAGCAAATAGAAAGAACCATTGAAGAGATAGAATCAACACTGCATGCTATCAGGTAACATTGTCTGATTCCGGTTTGGAATGCTTTATGTTTATTCATTACCCTGCTGTAGTGGGATTCATGTTTATTCATTACCATGCTGTAGTCTGATTCATGTTTATTCATTACCATGCTGTAGTCTGATTCATGTTTATTCATTACCCTGCTGTAGTCTGATTCGTGTTTATTCATTACCCTGCTGTAGTCTGATTCATGTTTATTCATTACCCTGCTGTAGTCGGATTCATGTTTATTCATTACCCTGCTGTAGTCGGATTCATGTTTATTCATTACCCTGCTGTAGTCGGATTCATGTTTATTCATTACCCTGCTGTAGTCGGATTCATGTTTATTCATTACCCTGCTGTAGTCGGATTCATGTTTATTCATTACCCTGCTGTAGTCGGATTCATGTTTATTCATTACCCTGCTGTAGTCGGATTCATGTTTATTCATTACCCTGCTGTAGTCTGATTCATGTTTATTCATTACCCTGCTGTAGTCGGATTCATGTTTATTCATTACCCTGCTGTAGTCGGATTCATGTTTATTCATTACCCTGCTGTAGTCGGATTCATGTTTATTCATTACCCTGCTGTAGTCTGATTCATGTTTATTCATTACCCTGCTGTAGTCTGATTCATGTTTATTCATTACCCTGCTGTAGTCTGATTCATGTTTATTCATTACCCTGCTGTAGTCTGATTCATGTTTATTCATTACCCTGCTGTAGTCTGATTCATGTTTATTCATTACCCTGCTGTAGTCTGATTCATGTTTATTCATTACCCTGCTGTAGTCTGATTCATGTTTATTCATTACCCTGCTGTAGTCTGATTCATGTTTATTCATTACCCTGCTGTAGTCTGATTCATGTTTATTCATTACCCTGCTGTAGTCTGATTCATGTTTATTCATTACCATGCTGTAGTAAGATTCATGTTTATTCATTACCATGCTGTAGTCTGATTCATGTTTATTCATTACCCTGCTGTAGTCTGATTCATGTTTATTCATTACCCTGCTGTAGTCGGATTCATGTTTATTCATTACCCTGCTGTAGTCTGATTCATGCTTAAGGATTTGCTGTATGGAAATCTGCTTCATGTTTTTTCAATGAATTATGTACTTTCATCTTTATTCATGAAGCATGTACTATAAATAATCTACGTCATACTAAACCATGGGACTTGTGTTTGTTACAGGTGAACTGGTTTTATTTTGTAGAGAAACACCAGACATACTGGAGTATTGGAATGGCGTGCTGCTGTTCATGAAGGAATTAGCACTTTCAGAAAAATGTGCAAAGTTTCCAGTTGTCATTAAACCATTCAAATACTTTTTTGGTAACTTGGCCGAAAAAAGATTAAAGGTAAGCATTGTCTGTTCTGTTCCATAAGATATTTATACCCTCATTACATTTATTATGAGGAAATTTTTTTAGACTCATTGTTCGAGTCACAGCTGGTCAAAGGTTAATTAAAAGTATAAATCCTATTACATAATTGTCACAATTCAGGTGAAGAAGAGGAATGCGTCTGTTCAGGACTGGTAACATCTAGCATATCATTTATATACAGAAACAAAACAACAACAGTGCATGTTTCCAGTCTGTCGTGTTCTGCTTCTTGATGACTTTTCTATTTTACTGATCAGGAATGCTGCAATTGATGACGTAATCTGGCCAGATATATCGTAATTTCCGTGTTTGTTGATCTGATGCAGATAGGAAACCTTTTTTTTAAATGTTATAATGAAATAAAGATATATATACCATGCACACATCCTTCTGTATCTTGGATGTTTGTTCATTCATCCATAACTAATTGTATGTTTCTAGGTGACATTAAAACTATGAAGAGCAGTTCGGAAGATAATTTGGAGAGTTGACATTGTTATTAAAAAAGATGTGAATATTGAAGGTTGTGACTGTTTATTCTATTGGCTGTCCTAGGTATATGTTAAAAATAATAAAAACACATTTTTGTTGTAGAAAACTCCCGAGCTCATCACCCAATGGATGCCAGTATTCAGCGAAATGCTGCAAAAGACACCATCGTCCAAGTGCCTGGACAGTTGGGCTTTCCAAACTGCCATTACAATGGCGGAATTTTGGCCTCCACAGTAAGTCTAGTACATCGTAATCACAAGGGTCATACAGGTCATATCATATAGGTCATGTCAAACAAGTCAGATAATACAGGTCATGCCATATTATACAGGTCAGATGATACAGGTCAGGTCATATAGGTCAGGTCATACATGTCATATCATATAGGGCATGTCAAACAAGTCAGATAATACAAGTCAGGTCATATTATAAAAGTCACATACAGGTCAGGTCATATAGGTCAGGTCATATTATAAAAGTCACATACAGAGAAGGTCATACTGGTCATATCTTATAGGTCATGCCATACAGGTCAGGTAATACAGGTCGGGTCATAGATGTCATATCATACAGGTCATATCATAAAAGTCATAAGGTATGTCATACAGGTCATATCACACAGGTCATGTCATACAGGTCGGGTCATAGCTGTCATATCATACAGGTCATGTCATACAGGCCATGTCATATTATACAGGTCACATACAGGTCAGGTCATACAGGTCATATCACACAGGTCAGTTCACATAGGTAATGTTATACATGTCACATACATGTCATATCATTCAAATCATAGCATACAGGCCATGTCATATTATACAGGTGGTTATATTTGTTAGATCGTACAAGTTTGGCCGTACATGTTAAATTGTCCGGACATGCGTGCATACGTAGGCGTACAGGTAAAAATATATTTATATTTTAGCGTAAAGGCTATGACTGGTAGGTATATGTTTATGTATACATGAAGGTCATCTATATACACGTGTATATGTCATGCATACAAATGTATACAAATGTACGGGTCATTTGTTTTAGCAACATGTACTGAGTATTGTACGGATAGGAGTTTAAGAAGTCTAGTCTGAAGAAAAAATGATTTATCATTTTTAGCTCACCTGGCCCGAAGGGCCAAGTGAGCTTATCCCATGGTGCAGCGTCCGTCGTCCGTCGTCCGTCGTCCGGCGTCAGTTTTGTATAAACGGAGGGTATAACCCCCCTGGGGGCAGAGGGGCGGNCAGGAAAGAATTAGCTATACCCTGGCTCACAATCGTGAAAGGACTGTTGCAGTATCCGGACCCAGACGCCGGGAGAGCGGCTAATTACATTCTTAGCAAGGATAAATTCATAGCGATTTGGGATTGGAAAGTAAGATAATTTGAGATTGTACAGAATAACCAACTCGAAGATCGCGATTACGCCCAGTTATCGGAGCACACGTCAAAGGACGAGTTTGTGCCAATGTGTATACAATGTAGTTCTCTCACTGTGTGTGTACACATATACGTGGGTTACTTCATGTGTGTGTCCTTGTCTTCCACACGTGTGAGTCAAAGTTAATAATTTGTGCCGTGGACTGTCTAATCGTATGTCGTGCATGGTGTGTTCCAATTGTAAAGAGATCAAACGTCCTGTAAACTGTTTTATCCAAATCAGCGATCGACTTCTTTTGCCTGAATATGTCGCCACGAAAGTGGACATTTGTTACACACTAGGCTGTAGACCGTAGTATTAAATAGTTAGTAAGAGTCATTCTTTATTCACTGGTGTTATAAAGGTTGCAGGTTCATACACACCCCTGGCGCTATGAACTGTTCCCTGCAATACATACCTTCACTTGGCTACAACTGGTACATGTGTTTCTGTTGGTAGTTCACGAGCTTTCTTCCTTAGCTAGCCCATATATTTTTCTTCTCGGCAAGCTCAAATGACTGACATATCCACATTTTCTGTGTAATCAAACTACATCAATCCTCATATTTAGACCCTAGTTATGACGGTGACGTTAACAATCCTCATTTTAGCCATTAGTTATGACGGTAACGTCAACAGTCCTCATGTTAAGCTCCTAGTTATGACGGTAACATCAACAGTCCTCATGTTTAGCTCCTAGTTATGACGGTTACGTCAACACTCCTCATGTTTAGCCCCTTGTTATGACGAAAACGTCAAAAATCCTCATTTTAGCACTTAGTTATGACGGTGAAGACATCAATCCTCACGTTAGCCCCTAGATATTACGGTAACGTCAACAAACCTCATGTTTAGCCCCTAGATATTACGGTAACGTCAACAAACCTCATGTTAGCCCTATATATGACAGTAAAGACATCAATCCTCATGTTAGCCCCTAGTTATGACGGTAACGTCAACAATCATCATGTTAGCCCTAAATATGACGATAACGTCATCAATTCTCATGTTTAGCACTTAGTTATGACGATAACGTCAACAATCATCATGTTAGCCCCTAAATATGACGATAACGTCATCAATTCTCATGTTTAGCCCCTAGTTATAACGGTAACGTCAACAATCCTCATGTTTAGCCCCTTGTTATGACGGTAACGTTAACAATCCTCATGTTAGCCCCTAGATATGATAACGTCATCAATCCTCATGTTTAGCACTTAGTTATGACGATAACGTCAACAATCCTCATGTTTAGCCCCTTGTTATGACGATAACGTCAACAATCCTCAAGTTAGCCTCTAGATATGACGATAACGTCATCAATTCTTATGTTTAGCACTTATTTATGACGGTAACGTCAACAATCCTCATGTTTAGCCCCTAGTTATGAAGGTTACGTCAACACTCATCATGTTAGCCCCCTAGTTATGACGGTAACGACATCAATCCTCATTTTTAGCCCCTAGTTATGGCGATAACTTCTTTGACATATTAGCTTTGTCGAGTGAGGTTGCATTCGTGCAGATATTTGTATCCAAACCGATCCAAGTTAAACACATGCCCACTTCCTGTAGTATCCTGAAATTCTTACGTCAGTAGAGACGTGGGCATGTACATGTACGACAATCACGTGACAACAGTTTGGGCATTGAAATGCATTTATTATCATTTTTATGCGGTAGGATAGTAGTAATCAACTTATGTTTGTTTATTAATGTTGAAAAAGATAGTTAGGAAATAGAAAATATTCAAAGCGACCTTCTTTTACTATTTTACTAACATCGTCTCTTCCGTTTTATAAATTTTAACATGAGGCGAGCATAAATATCAATTTTAAGAATATTGTTTTAAATACATACACCTTGACATGCTTCTCCTAATTAATCTTCGTAATATACAATTATGACATTATCACAACTGAAAAAATAATGCATGATGATTACAATGATTACAAGAAGGAGACAGGAATAGATAAGGAAACGAAGAGTAGGGAATTGTCTGCTTCAACGAAGAGCAGGAAATTGTCTGCTTCAACGATTAGCAGGGAAGTGTCTGCTTCAGTTGACTTCTGTCAACTTGGTGAAAGAAAGCTACCCCATGTTACCTGTGAGGTCGCTGGCCTATTACGACAGCCATCCTATTACTGATGAACGCGATTCTTTCGTTAATTCCCAGATATCTGCATAGCGGGTACATAGCTTATTTACTACCACGTGTTGATGGGGAATCCTCTTTATCCTGCTCAGGAACGAGGTTCCGATTATTTACTTCCCCGTTTTGATGGGAAATCCTCTTTATCCTGCTCGGGAACGAGGTTCCGATTATTTATTTTACCACGTGTTGATGGGGAATCCTCTTTATGTTTACTTCTCCGTGTTGATTGGGAATTCTCTTTATCCTGCTCAGGAACGAGGTTCCGATTATTTACTACCACGTGTTGATGGGGATTCCTTTTATCCTGCTCAGGAACTAAGTTCCGACAGTAAGGATTGCTGTATTTCAGACCTTACTGCATCAGTCACTTGTCCTTGGTGTGTTTCATCTTAACTGTCAAATGTCTATCGCCACTAGATTAGGAAATAAAACTGAGCTGAACCGATTTTTTCTAGTGCAATTATCACCTCCATACTGTGTTTGTTTGAGATAAAAAAAATCTATCAATTCATTAGATAAATCGATACTAATATAGCTGCCCAACACTGCAACGAACTCGTTACAGTAATGTATCTGTCGATTTGTCCTTTCAAACTGAATCATTATTGTTGATTCTTGAAAAAAGAATACCCAGTATTCGTGAATTCGTGATTTTTTTTTTAATTACAGCAAAATGAGAAACATGCAAGAGAAGTAGTGGAAATCATTGGGAAAATTGACTTCCCTACCGAGAATTCTGTAAAAAAAGAAAAGAACAAGAAAAAGAAAAAGAAGGACTCCGACAGTGACGACTCGGACGACTCCTCGGATGACGAAGAGGAGGTCAAATTAGACGACGAAAGTTGGGAAAGGTTCGGAGATTGTATCAGCACTCTTCAGAAACAATTCAAGTAAGTTCAAATATACTTCCTATTTCAAATACCTCTAAGGTCTAGTCGCTGCTAGGTTAGACAGATCAGAAACAGATGGAACTAGGGATAACTGTTAACAAGGGAAACGTTTACAGGGAGACCATAGAAAAGTTCAAGTTTAAAAAATCTGCTTCCTCAACGACACCTACAGCATAAACGTATGTCAAACCCAATTAATGCAAGGTCTTCAACTTGGGAATCGAAACCACAAAGCCATTTGTATTATTTAAAGCATCGATACTCATATCGACGATGGAATATGACGTGCTACAATTATAGGATGGTTATCAATAAAACTCTCATAGTCTTCAACAAACTGCATCTCTCGAAACACTGAGTTGCCAATATGTCGAGCAAAGGCCGTTTATCTATTACGAAAGGAAAAGTTTATGACCCTCCCCCCTCCCCACACACACACACACGCACACTAAACAATAGATAAAAAAGTAATAGTAATAGAGTGCTATTTATTGTTAATTAAGCCTTCAGCACAAGGAGACAACATAAGGTCATAGAGTGGTAAACAAGTTTATTGTCATAAGGGTTTATGAACAGTTACTTAGGCCATCCGATGTATTCCATTCCGGAGCTTCTGGAATGCTGTGTGTTATTTCAAAAACATGTGAACTATGACAAGACAGCGAATAAAATACCACACATTTATATCAAATAGTTTAAAAAACCTCAGCATTGTTTGGGGTCAAAGGTCAAATGAATGTACTGCTTGTCCATAAAAAATGTTGAACTGCAAATGAAACTCTGTAGATCAGTGAAAAATGACAGAATGATTGTGGGGTCACAGCAATGAGACACTAATGGGTCGAAAGTTAAATCACTGTCATGCTTGGCCAGAATTTGAGCTTGATCGCTTAGAATTATTTGGCGAAACTTTGGTTTTATGATGAGAGGTTGTGTTACATACCATGTATCGCCAAACTCAAGATCACAGCAAGGAGTCAAGGTCAAAACGTTAAAGCTTTATGATGATTGTACAGATTGTCACCTTTTAATTACTTACACGTGATCATTGTTAGACGTATTACGACCAGTCAGTTTGTCACATACCGTACTGTGGTTCAATGTGCTAAATCACGGCTAAGGGTCACATACCGTACTCTGGTTCAATTTGCTAAATCACGGCCAAGGGTCACATACCGTACTCTGGTTCAATGTGCTAAATCACGGCTAAGTGTCACATACCGTACTCTGGTTCAATGTGCTTAATCACGGCTAAGGGGCACATACCGTACTCTGGTTCAATGTGCTAAATCAAGGCTAAGGGTCACATACCGTACTCTGGTTCAATGTGCTAAATCAAGGCTAAGGGTCACATACCGTACTCTGGTTCAATTTGCTAAATCACGGCCAAGGGTCACATACCGTACTCTGGTTCAATGTGCTTAATCACGGCTAAGGGACACATACCGTACTCTGGTTCAATGTGCTAAATCACGACTAAGGGTCACATACCGTACTCTGGTTCAATGTGCTAAATCACGGCTAAGGGGAACAAACCTTACTCTGGTTCAATGTGCTTAATCACGGCTAAGGGTCACATACCGATCTGTGGTTCAATGTGCTAAATCACGGCTAAGGGGCACATACCGTTCTCTGGTTTAATGTGCTAAATCACGGCTAAGGGTCACATACCGTTCTCTGGTTCAATGTGCTTAATCACGGCTAAGGGTCACAGGTCAAATAAATGTAACGGTTGCATGGACTGTAAATTTCATGAGCTGAACAACATGTTATTGCTGACACAGGTAACATGTATTATGATATAATAATGTGACGGGTGCTACACAGTTCTATGAGTAAAAGGTCAAGGTTACAGGAGGATAGATATCTCATTGATATATAAAAAACACTATAAATTACTCTTAGATATTCACTTCATCAATGTTATTTTGCTTTTAGAATTCACAAAATTGAGGACAAACTCGGGCCAAGTGTAGCTGAATTAACCATCAGGATATTGGAGAGGCGGTCAACATTCCTCAACAGATTTGCTGACTTGATGAGAGACGAGCTTTGTCTGAAGGTAGTGTAATAAAGAAGGTCATATAGGGGAGAGGAGGGAGGTCCTATATGTGTAGTGTAGTAAGGATGGTCCTATATGTGTAGTGTAGAAAGGGTGGTCCTATATGTGTAGTGTAGTAAGGGTGCTCCTATATGTGTAGTGTAGTATGGTCCTATATGTGTAGTGTAAGGGTGGTCCTATATGTGAAGTGGAGTAAGGATGGTCCTATATGAGTAGTGTAGTAAGGGTGGTCCTATATTTGTAGTGTAGAAAGGATGTTCCTATATGTGTAGTGGAGTAAGGATGGTCCTATATGTGAAGTGTAGTAAGGGTTGTCCTATATGTGTTGTGTAGTAAGGTTGGTCCTATATGTGTAGAGGAGTAAGGATGGTCCTATATGAGTAGTGTAGTAAGGGTGGTCCCATATGTGTAGTGTAGAAAGGGAGGTCCTATATGTGTAGTATAGTAAGGGTCCTCCTATATGTGTAGTGTAGTATGGTCCTATATGTGTAGTGTAATAAGGATGGTCCTATATGTGTAGTGTAGTAAGGATGGTCATATATGTGTTGTGAAGTAAGGATGGTCCTATATGTGTAGTGTAGTAAGGATGGTCCTATATTTGTAGTGTAGTAAGGATGTTCCTATATGTGTAGTGTAGTAAGGGTGGTCTTATATGTGTAGTATTGTAGTAAGGTTGGTCGTATAAAGGTGGTCCTGGACTTAGTTATAATTTACAACTTTGCACGGCGCAATCCTACAACAGATCTTAGGTAAATAAGTAAATACTTATTAATACGTAGATATGCTGAAAGTTTGATAAATGTAAAAAATCATTCATATTTTCCAAAACTCAGAAATTCGGTATACTTACGGGAATTAATTGGAGACCGCCGATAACTCAGGTAATTAATTTTGAGATTTTGCATGCTCTTAGTTTAATTCGTGATGGTTGTTTTGTAGAAATATCCATCCGTCGTTCCCAGGCTCCTGGAGAGATTAGTGGTTTTGGTTATGGAAAAGGGTTATCCGTGGGAAGCAAGGAAGTCCGTCATCGTTGCTCGCGCCTTGATGCATCAGAGCATCGATGCCTACAGGTGAGTGAAAAAAACCCGGAATGTTTTAAACAAATCCTCACACCACCAATAAAATGCCGTAGTGATTATGAAAGGTATTAATCGAAGAAAGATTACGTATTGCAACCAGTAAGTGTTTCTGTGTTACATTTCGGTGATTAGTACGATACGTAACCTGCCACCTTCCAGTAAAGCGTATGTAAACAAAGGTGTCAAACGTGAACGAGTTGGCATTATGAAATCAACGTCGATTAGGATACGCAATAAGCGTATGTACACTTGTTATACGTGTACGAAATAACGAATCAAACCGACAACTTAATACTTGGTAATAGATGTGCGAGTCTTTAAGCCCCCCTCGTCTCGGTTCAAAACTGGCCCACCGCGGCGTATCTAGATGGCTTTTTTAATTGCCGATTCAACAGATTGCTCTTTTTGTCCATACCTGTGTAGATATCCCAGTTAATAGTTTGATTTTGCTGCAAGGCATAGTCTATGATTGCCGTTTTATTGATCTGGGACTAATATCGATCTATTGATCTGGGACTATTGTCGATCTATTGATCTTGGACTATTGTCGATTTATTGATCTGGGACTTCGACTGCTTCCTTTGAGATAAAGTGAATGTCTTTCCCTCTTGGATTTTCGTATGTTTTCGGTGTTCAATTAGTCGCCTTCCAGTTTCTCCAATAAAATTTGCGTAACGGTTCATGCATCCATTTTTATACACGCATTCTGCTACGTTTTCTGTTGTTTTATTCCTGGGATGCACAAGGATATTGCATAGAGTCTTGACGGGCTTCATGGCTGCTGCTATGCCATAGATGCGGTATATTCCTTGTATATGTATACGGCATGATGACCTGGCCTTTTATTTTCTTATTATCCTTGATTGACCTTTCCGTTTTCTTTCACTTTCAGTGTTTTTGTACCCTTTAGGGGGCCCAAGCCGGATATCCACATGTTTTCTTGCACCAGTGATATATCAGTTTATTGGTCCGTATGGTTCTTTTTCTATTGACCAATACCTTTACAGTTCCGTCGTTTTTCTTGAGAAGTAGGGTGTCCACGTTTGATGCTGTTTGTGGACTCTATTGTGCTGAAATGGTTCGTCTAATTCTTCTGTGACCCTTTCTTGATGATCTCTTGTATATTGTCAACATATCGTTTCCATTAGCTAGTATTGCACTCGAAGGGGCAGTTGCTATTGCTTCTTGCTCTAAGATGTTCTTTAAACAATTAGGCAACAATTAGAGACACTGGACTGCCCATAGCAGTGCCGAAGCGATGTTGATAGAAGTGGTCTTGGGAACTAAAATATGTTGTTGTCAGCACAAATTCCAGCAACTCCCATAATATCCTGGATCTGAGATTGGTGTTCCTATGCCAGGATCTGTCTAACTCTACGCGTCTTTGAGTGATTCTAAGTGCATAGTCAATGCTGTGTTGGTAAAAAGAAATACAACATCATGTGAAATGATCGTGGACATAGTTTCCGCTAAACGGTTCGAACTCTGGACATGGTGTGCCGATTTACTCACAAGCGGTCAAAGAATGGCTGCTTAAGACCCGGAAGCATTGTTATCAATGGATCCAGTATAGTCCACAATAGGTCTCAGTGGGTTCTTCTTTTTGAGGATCTTGGGTGTACAGTACAATCTAGGGGTGTTCTCTACAGTGGGGTACAGGGATCTTGGGTGTACAGTACAATCTAGGGGTGTTCCCTACAGTGGGGTACAGGGATCTTGGGTGTACAGTACAATCTAGGGGTGTTCTCTACAGTGGGGTACAGGGATCTTGGGTGTACAGTACAATCTAGGGGTGTTCTCTACAGTGGGGTACAGGGATCTTGGGTGTACAGTACAATCTAGGGGTGTTCTCTACAGTGGGGTACAGGGATCTTGGGTGTACAGTACAATCTAGGGGTGTTCTCTACAGTGGGGTACAGGGATCTTGGGTGTACAGTACAATCTAGGGGTGTTCTCTACAGTGGGGTACAGGGATCTTGGGTGTACAGTACAATCTAGGGGTGTTCTCTACAGTGGGGTACAGGGATCTTGGGTGTACAGTACAATCTAGGGGTGTTCTCTACAGTGGGGTACAGGGATCTTGGGTGTACAGTACAATCTAGGGGTGTTCTCTACAGTGGGGTACAGGGATCTTGGGTGTACAGTACAATCTAGGGGTGTTCTCTACAGTGGGGTACAGGGATCTTGGGTGTACAGTACAATCTAGGGGTGTTCTCTACAGTGGGGTACAGGGATCTTGGGTGTACAGTACAATCTAGGGGTGTTCTCTACAGTGGGGTACAGGGATCTTGGGTGTACAGTACAATCTAGGGGTGTTCTCTACAGTGGGGTACAGGGATCTTGGGTGTACAGTACAATCTAGGGGTGTTCTCTACAGTGGGGTACAGGGATCTTGGGTGTACAGTACAATCTAGGGGTGTTCTCTACAGTGGGGTACAGGGATCTTGGGTGTACAGTACAATCTAGGGGTGTTCTCTACAGTGGGGTACAGGGATCTTGGGTGTACAGTACAATCTAGGGGTGTTCTCTACAGTGGGGTACAGGGATCTTGGGTGTACAGTACAATCTAGGGGTGTTCTCTACAGTGGGGTACAGGGATCTTGGGTGTACAGTACAATCTAGGGGTGTTCTCTACAGTGGGGTACAGGGATCTTGGGTGTACAGTACAATCTAGGGGTGTTCTCTACAGTGGGGTACAGGGATCTTGGGTGTACAGTACAATCTAGGGGTGTTCTCTACAGTGGGGTACAGGGATCTTGGGTGTACAGTACAATCTAGGGGTGTTCTCTACAGTGGGGTACAGGGATCTTGGGTGTACAGTACAATCTAGGGGTGTTCTCTACAGTGGGGTACAGGGATCTTGGGTGTACAGTACAATCTAGGGGTGTTCTCTACAGTGGGGTACAGGGATCTTGGGTGTACAGTACAATCTAGGGGTGTTCTCTACAGTGGGGTACAGGGATCTTGGGTGTACAGTACAATCTAGGGGTGTTCTCTACAGTGGGGTACAGGGATCTTGGGTGTACAGTACAATCTAGGGGTGTTCCCTACAGTGGGGTACAGAAGGTTCTTCTCGCAGAATAATAGCTATTTTACAACGATTGTGAAACAGCATCTTTTAGCTTATATTAATCGCTCTTAATCACTCAAAGAAGTCTTAATACGGGAAACTGGAGAAAACCCACGTGGTCGGGAAGGTGACAGCACCTTTTCATGTCCTATCGGGGGATCGAACTCTTTCAGCTTTTGTGAAAGGGGGAATGTGCTATCTATTGCATAACCCGACCAACCTTGCAACAAGAACTAGGGTTGCGTTATAGGCAAGGAAACCATACTAACACAGTTTTAAATTGCTCGCAAAACGAAATGTTAGCGTATCATGGTTCCATGTTACTCTCTTCCTGAACACCGATAAATGATAAAGTACATACCAGCAGTTTGTATTATATTCCGAATCTAAACAAAAATCCTTTAACCATGTTTTATGTCGATGAATCTGCTAGTTTCTCAACAAAGACACTATCAAACTTATCCTACACGGCAAAGCCCAAGATAGAATACTATAATATATTAATATTATAATTAATTTAATGATTTTGTTTATGGTTTCACTTTGACTCTCCCAGTTCGTGCTATATATTGTAAGGGACTGCCCGGTTTTGAGAATCTTGGATAGCTGTCCAAACAGTTTGGGGATTGATTTCCTGGTTGTCAATACCCATGTTGACTTTGATGCAAAGATTTTCCAGGAAATGATTGGCCTACCAATGGGGTTAAACTCTGCTCCATTTTTGGCCGAATTGTTTTCTATTTTCATACGAAATTGAATTTAACAAAGAATTTATCTGGATAGGTGACAAAAGTCCTTAATTCTAATTTCTGATATATCGATGAAATTTTATCTTAATACAACGAAAAATGTATTTGCCAATTTCGATTGTATATACTCTCTTTAAATGAAGGACGCAACGGATTCTTCTGCATTAGTCGTTAACCGTGATTGCATACCATGACTAACAAAGACGGCTTACCACTGAGCTGTATGTTCCCTTTCTTGAAAGTAACACATACGGTATTTACATGTCAGAGTTAATTCGTGGTTGCTTCAAAGATGATAAATAGCATAGGTTTGTTGATCGCCATCATTATATCTTTAGAAAATAAAACTCTTTCCTTTAACGATGCGAATGTTAATGGGTTTTTTATCATGCTTATCAGTGTTTACATTTGTCGTTAAGGAAGTATGTAGCAGACGGAACGTAATATTCTGCAACACCTATTCCTTTTCTCCGTGTTCTTTTTCAAGGGTCTTTTTGTGTTTTGCAAATATTACGGCTTTGTTACAATATGGTATTATCTGGTTTTGTTTCCTTTCTTTCGTTTGGCCTACAACAGTATGCTTGTATTTATTGTAGTGAGGGAAAGGATATGCCAGCGGCAGTAAATAAAGCATTCATAACGGTCATCAAGTTCACCATGGAAACTAAGGATCTACCTTTTCTGGAGGGAGTGCGGTTAGACAAAAGCATATTTTGTGAAATTGCAACTCAAATAATGAGTAACTTTATATCTAAGGTAAGTCATTAGCTTCTTTTCAGACTCTTTACGTTCTCACTTTAAACATGGCTTATGTGTTGTTGTTTATTAAATTGTCAACGAATCGGGAGAAGCATTGGTAACTTCAACATAGAATATAGAACTGACGTATGGTTTTACTCTCTCATCCTTACGTAGCAAAGCACAGTTGGGAGATTACCATGTTTGACTTTATATTACAGCATGCACAGTCGAACAGTTATCAGGTTTGTGCTGTTTTGATTCCTGGTGTGATCAAACAGAGGAGCCACGAAGTAAAAGAACTCCAGGAAATGGCCATGAGTATCATGAAAGACCTCAGCGCTCACAAACCGGTCATGCTATGTCCCCACCTCAACGTCTTCATCAAATGGTACAAAGAATCGATAGACGAGGAACTGTTAGGTATGCGATATAAACCGCGGGATTTTGATGAAATTTGTAAATGTTGTTCAAACGGACAAAATCTTTACACGGCGATTTTGAACTCAGAATTCTCTGACGCGCAATCAAAACTTTTAATGACCTTGTCTACAGCTCTACAGATTAAGTAGCGTGTTTGTTTTTGTATCCTTGATCTAGACATATATCACCTACTGTTTTATTCTACCCTGCTTTCCTATATTGTAATCAATCCTTGCTATGAATGTGACTAAGGATGTACATTTTTCGGGCTTAAATGGTCTTTTTGAGATTTTGGGATATTTTTTTGTCCAAAAACCGGAAACTTACTTAGAATAATGAATGCAATATCACAAAAAACTGCAGGTATTTTTCGTAGATAGATATAATAAACTTCAATCATTGGCTGCTCAAGATTAAAGGTCAAAGTTCAAAAGATTATGATTGATCGATTGATTAGGGTTGAACGCCTTTAGAACCGGAAAGGCCATGTAAGGACACTGTTCACAGATCGCTGGGCAACGCAGAAGAAATTTGAACGTGCACTTTTCTCTGAAATGTAAAAAGTTAGAATTACTATATTTTATTTCACACGATAAAAATACTCTAATATTGTATCTATCGATGCACGAGATTTGAATCAAACATCACTCGTTTGCAATATGATTTTAACTTTAACAACCTTCGAATTAAATTCAGATGTGACACGGCATCTGATTGGTCAATCGAAATAATTTGCAACGGTATAACAGCATTGACCGTCTGCAAATTTCTCATTTGCATAATATGAAGTCCGGGTGACGATTGTAAATTACGTCGGTGATTTATTCAGATAACACGTTATAAAACTGAGTATTAGTGACTTCACGAACAACAGTATGACACCGAACTGTCAATGGAATGCCGCCTCGCTTTGAATGTTACTGACGTAACCAATATTGACCTTGATTTTTGAAAACCCTACTAAAGTTCACTTTGCAGTATCCGCTAAATTGTTCATAATATGACAGTAAACATCGAACAATAGCAGGTTGTGCTTCTCTTTGTGTTCTCATCCTTTTCCCTGCGATAAAATTATGAATGTTTTATGATTTCTTTTGCAAGATCTGACTGAGAAAATATATAAGGTCAGTAGAGGGGTCCAAAAAGAGGAGTTCAGAGACCTGCTGCAGACATTGTTAGATGATGACAAAACCGAAAAGGAGCATCAATCTAGTCTCATTCTGAAGATGGCGGTAAAACAACCACAGGTTGGTATTTAATAACAACAAATCGTGATGTGTTGGCGTCGTTGTTTATATCTTTATCCCACCCCCATCCCTACCAAAACAGCCAGCGGCATATGTTAAACGTAAAGGGATCAAATCCCACAACATTATCATCATTATTAAACAAAATTTGTATGGCGTCCTATCTGATCTCAAGAAAGGTATTTAAAATTAAAAAGATGATAAACATACATTTAACACAATCAGGAAAGTGTTGTGGCAGTCTTGTTACATGATCCCTTATAGTAGCTTTGTGTGTAATAACATTGTATGTGTTTGCTGGATATCATATGCATTTTGTTATGTTAAGAGTCCGTAGTTCTAAGGGCTTTTAGTGCAACCCAATCTACATAACAAATGTAATACCAAACCTGGACCTTATTGTACTCAACTCCAGGCAGGTGTAGCTAAACATCAAAAGTAAAGTGGCCTGGTGTGAATAGAAACTACAACTTTGACTTTAATAGACCGACACACTACCAGCTTTACTCGACTTTGACTTCAATAGACCGAAACACTCCCAGGTGTACTCGACTTTGACTTCGATAGACCGACACACTTCCAGCTGTGCTTGACTTTGACTTCGATAGACCGAAACCCTACCAGATGTGCTCGACTTTGACTTCGATAGATCGACACACTACCAGCTGTGCTCGACTTTGATTTCAATAGACCGGCACACTACCAGCTGTGCTTGACTTCGATAGACCGATACACTACCAGCTGTGCTTGACTTCGATAGACCGACACACTACCAGATGTGCTCGACATTGACTTCGATAGACCGAAACACTACCAGATGTGCTCGACTTTGACTTCGATAGATCGACACACTACCAGATGTGCTTGACTTTGACTTCAATAGACCGACACACTACCAGATGTGCTCGACATTGACTTCGATAGACCGAAACACTACCAGATGTGCTCGACTTTGACTTCGATAGATCGACACACTACCAGCTGTGCTTGACTTTGACTTCAATAGACCGAAACACTACCAGCTGTGCTTGACTTCGACTTCAATAGACTGAAACACTACCAGCTTTACTCGACATTGACTTCAATAGACCGAAACACTACCAGCTTTACTCGACTTTGACTTCGATAGACCGACACACTACCAGATGTCCTCGACATTGACTTCGATAGACCGAAACACTACCAGATGTGCTCGACTTTGACTTCGATAGATCGACACACTACCAGATGTGCTTGACTTTGACTTCAATAGACCGATACACTACCAGCTGTGCATGACTTTGATTTCAATAAACCGACACACTACCAGCTGTGCTCGGCTTTGACTTCGTTAGACTGACACACTACCAGCTGTGCTTCACTTTGACTTCGATAGACCGACACACTACCAGCTGTACTCGACTTTGACTTCGATAGACCGACACACTACCAGCTTTACTCGACTTTGACTTCAATAGACCGACACACTACCAGATGTGCTCGGCATTGACTTCGATAGACCTAAACACTACCAGATGTGCTCGACTTTGACTTCGATAGACCGACACACTACCAGGTGTAATAGACCGACACACTACCAGCTGTGCATGACTTTGATTTCAATAAACCGACACACTACCAGCTGTGCTCGGCTTTGACTTCGTTAGACTGACACACTACCAGCTGTGCTTCACTTTGACTTCGATAGACCGACACACTACCAGGTGTACTCGACTTTGGCTTCAATAGACTGAAACACTACCAGCTTTACTCGACTTTGACTTCGATAGACCGACACACTACCAGGTGTAATAGACCGACACACTACCAGCTGTGCATGACTTTGATTTCAATAGACCGCCACACTACCAGCTGTGCTCGGCTTTGACTTCGTTAGACTGACACGCTACCAGCTGTGCTTGACTTTGACTTCGATAGACCGAAACACTACCAGATGTGCTCGACTTTGACTTCGATAGATCGACACACTACCAGATGTGCTTGACTTTGACTTCAATAGACCGATACACTACCAGCTGTGTTTGACTTCGATAGACCGAAACACTACCAGCTGTGTTTGACTTCAATAGACCGACACACTACCAGCTGTACTCGACTTTGACTTCGATAGACCGACACACTACCAGCTGTGCATGACTTTGATTTCAATAGACCGCCACACTACCAGCTGTGCTCGGCTTTGACTTCGTTAGACTGACACGCTACCAGCTGTGCTTGACTTTGACTTCGATAGACCGAAACACTACCAGATGTGCTCGACTTTGACTTCGATAGACCGATACACTACCAGCTGTGCACGACATTGACTTCAATAGACCGAAACACTACCAGTTGTTCTCGACATTGACTTCGATAGACCGACCCGACACACTACCAGCTGTGCTTGACTTTGACTTCAATAGACCGATACACTACCAGCTGTGTTTGACTTCGATAGACCGAAACACTACCAGCTGTGTTTGACTTCGATAGACCGACACACTACCAGCTGTGCATGACTTTGATTTCAATAGACCGACACACTACCAGCTGTACTCGACTTTGATTTCAATAGACCGACACACTACCAGCTGTACTCGACTTTGACTTCAATAGACCGACACACTACAAGCTGTGTTTGACTTCGATAGACCGACACACTACCAGGTGTAATAGACCGACACACTACCAGCTGTGCATGACTTTGATTTCAATAGACCGAAACACTACCAGCTGTACCCGACTTTGACTTCGATAGACCGACACACTACCAGGTGTAATAGACCGACACACTACCAGCTGTGCATGACTTTGATTTCAATAAACCGACACACTACCAGCTGTGCTCGGCTTTGACTTCGTTAGACTGACACGCTACCAGCTGTGCTTGACTTTGACTTCGATAGACCGAAACACTACCAGATGTGCTCGACTTTGACTTCAATAGACCGACACACTACAAGCTGTGTTTGACTTCGATAGACCGACACACTACCAGATGTCCTCGACATTGACTTCGATAGACCGAAACACTACCAGCTGTGTTTGACTTCAATAGACCGACACACTACCAGATGTGCTCGACAATGATTTCAATAGACCGAAACACTACCAGCTGTGCTCGACTTTGACTTCAATAGACCGACACACTACCAGCTGTGTTTGACTTCGATAGACCGACACACTACCAGGTGTACTCGACTTTGGCTTCAATAGACTGAAACACTACCAGCTTTACTCGACTTTGACTTCGATAGACCGACACACTACCAGCTTTACTCGACTTTGACTTCAATAGACCGACACACTACCAGCTGTGCTCGGCTTTGACTTCGTTAGACCGACACACTACCAGCTGTGCTTGACTTTGACTTCAATAGACCGATACACTACCAGCTGTGCATGACTTTGATTTCAATAGACCGACACACTACCAGCTGTGCTCGGCTTTGACTTCGTTAGACTGACACACTACCAGCTGTGCTTGACTTTGACTTCGATAGACCGACACACTACCAGGTGTACTCGACTTTGACTTCAATAGACTGAAACACTACCAGCTTTACTCGACTTTGACTTCAATAGACCGAAACACTACCAGTTGTGCTCGACATTGACTTCGATAGACCGACACACTACCAGCTGTGTTCGACATTGACTTCGATAGACCGACACACTACCAGATGTCCTCGACATTGACTTCGATAGACCGAAACACTACCAGCTGTGCTTGACTTTGACTTCATAGTCCGACACACTACCAGCTGTACTCGACATTGACTTCAATAGACCGAAACACTACCAGCTGTACTCGACTTTGACTTCGATTATCCGACACACTACCAGCTGTGCTCGACTTTGACTTCGATAGACCGACACACTCCCAGTTGTGCTCGACTTTGACTTCGATAGACCGACACACTAACAGTTGTGCTCGACTTTGACTTCGATAGACCGACACACTCCCAGTTGTGCTCGACTTTGACTTCGATAGACCGACACACTAACAGTTGTGCTCGACTTTGACTTCGATAGACCGACACACTAACAGTTGTGCTCGACTTTGACTTCGATAGACCGACACACTACCAGCTGTCCTCGACATTGACTTCGATAGACCGAAACACTACCAGCTGTACTCGACTTTGACTTCGATAGACCGACACACTACCAGTTGTGCTCGACTTTGACTTCGATAGACCGACACACTCCCAGTTGTGCTCGACTTTGACTTCGATAGACCGACACACTAACAGTTGTGCTCGACTTTGACTTCGATAGACCGACACACTCCCAGTTGTGCTCGACTTTGACTTCGATAGACCGACACACTCCCAGTTGTGCTCGACTTTGACTTCGATAGACCGACACACTACCCGTTGTGCTCGACTTTGACTTCGATAGACCGACACACTACCAGTTGTGCTCGACTTTGACTTCGATAGACCGACACACTAACAGTTGTGCTCGACTTTGACTTCGATAGACCGACACACTACCCGTTGTGCTCGACTTTGACTTCGATAGACCGACACACTAACAGTTGTGCTCGACTTTGACTTCGATAGACCGACACACTCCCAGTTGTGCTCGACTTTGACTTCGATAGACCGACACACTAACAGTTGTGCTCGACTTTGACTTCGATAGACCGACACACTACCAGTTGTGCTCGACTTTGACTTCGATAGACCGACACACTCCCAGTTGTGCTCGACTTTGACTTCGATAGACCGACACACTCCCAGTTGTGCTCGACTTTGACTTCGATAGACCGACACACTCCCAGTTGTGCTCGACTTTGACTTCGATAGACCGACACACTACCCGTTGTGCTCGACTTTGACTTCGATAGACCGACACACTACCAGCTGTGCTCGACATTGACTTCAATAGACCGAAACACTCCCAGCTGTGCTTGACTTTGACTTCATAGTCCGACACACTACCAGATGTGCTCGACATTGACTTCAATAGACCGAAACACTACCAGCTGTGCTCGGCTTTGACTTCGATTATCCGACACACTACCAGCTGTGCTCGACTTTGACTTCAATAGACCGACACACTACCAGCTGTGCTTGACTTTGCCTTCGATAGACCGACACACTACCAGCTGTGCTTGACTTTGACTTCGATAGACCGATACACTACCAGCTGTGCTTGACTTTGACTTCAATAGACCGAAACACTACCAGCTGTGCTCGGCTTTGACTTCGATTATCCGACACACTACCAGCTGTGCTCGACTTTGACTTCAATAGACCGACACACTACCAGGTGTGATAAGATGTCTTGTGTAATCCGCTTATTCATTTATTTCATGATCCCGTCACAAAAATGTGTAGACCTATAATATTGACTGGTGTTCATTTGTATACTCTATTAGAAAGATTCACTGAAGTGGAAATTTATATTTGTTTTCTTATAGAGTATTTCTATAAATAAACAACAACCTGTTGTTCTTCGTCTAGCCTGAGTAGACATGTCAAACACGTAACTTACCTGTATGGATTGTATACACAATCATAAATCAGCGATTACCAACTGAATCTGCTTATTATCCACCGAAAACAACACACAGAACAATTTATATAAAAACATACACCCGTATTGGTAGGGCTTTATGTTCTGGTAGACATGCTAGATATCACGACTGGGCATATACAAAACGTTGTATAGTACCATGTAAGCATACTTTGGGTATATGATATAATTATGGAAATCAATAAATCATGTGTGAGGAATCTCACGATAGAGCCATCAAATAATGATCGTCGGGAACTGTTGGTGCGTTAACTTTTAACACATTGACACAAAATATAACCGTGTCTAAACTATCCTTATCCTCTACAATCCCAGGTATTATATTGTATTTTAATCTGTGGCAAAGAAATACAGATTATGATATATATTATGTGAATAAAATCTGAGTGGTGGATACAGAGATTCAGATTGAAAAAAGTTAAAAGATGTTTTTCAACTTGTTAGACACCCGTGTTTTGTATACTTGAACACACTTCGAGAGATTCTTTACCGTTGTCTGATATACCGGCAAAGTATATTGTATCGGATTTGATTTTCTGAGCAAAGAATTACTGAATCAACGACAGAAAAGAAATACAGATTTGGAGAAATAGTTCAGTTCAAGTTATTGTTTCAATTTTGATAAAAATGAGTAAATAAATTCAATAGCGCTTTTTATAAAAAGATATGAAGTTACATGGCAGACAGACCGATGTGGGAAGGAGGATTCTGGAAGCTGCCCTAACCCCCAATGATTTGACAGTTTTTCGATATACAATGATAATCTAAGTTATAGCAGTCGGCGAACAATCAAGTAATTGACGTTGAATTATTTTGTAATAAATGTGGCCTTTGTTTTAAATAAATGAACTCTTCAAAGAAATTCCCAGGTTTTAGGTACAATTTTGTACTTTTTACTTACTAGTATTAATTTCGTTTCTTTCCTTTTTTCTATATTAAAAGAACATAGCCACTGCCTTGATATAGTTTCACCAAATATGATACAGACAGCCAATGGTTTAAAATCTTTACCTTCATTAATCTAAAATATGGAGTTTATGTTTGAATTTGATATTTCAGTATTTCGTCCAAAAGGACATTGATGTGATGGTGGTGAAATACGTGAATGACGAGGAATCCCAATACAACATGTTGGCTGCCTTTTCGAGAGTCATGGTGAAACAACCAGATCTATTTGGGGAAAACATGATTAAAAAGGTTCTGCAGAATCCCAAGGTGAAGATAGAATATTCCGTTGATTTCATAGGGCTGACTTTGGCTGACCAGAAGAAGGTGAGCATCAATTTTAAAACATATTCCTCAACTTCGTCCTAGTTATATTAAGATATGTTCATTTTCTCTTGTGATCATTTTATTATTTCTTCTTACACTTCAAAATACGATCTTCCCAAAAGAACTGTAAGTCGAAATGAATTTTCAAACTTTTTTTTCTCTTTCTAACATCATCAGTGTGCAATAATAACAGTATTAAAAATCAAAAACCGTTAGTTCAAACTTAAAAGACATCTTTGCAAAATTCATCAGTTTATAGTTATAGATGTTTCCAAAATCACTATTACAAAAATGGCCATTTGTTCAAAACAATAAATCTGAAAGGGATTTTTACCTTCAAAAGCTGTTTCTCACTTGTCATTCAACGTACATAGGAGATGGTGAAGACTATCATGGAAGAATTCATGAGCATGGCCAAAAGGTGTCGTGATACATGTAGCACGGACCAGGTAACAGTGATAAACGGGGCTAGGTCCCTGGCAGTTATGCACGGAATGGACTACCTCAAACCTTACAGACCCTACTTTGAAGATCTGCACAAGACAGGATCCGACGTTACGTTGAGAGACATGGCCAAGCTCATGCTCAATGCCATAGACGGAGTGAAGTATGTGCTTGCTTACGCTTTGAAACCTGTGTAATATAATAACCCTCGTTTTACTTAGACAGGATATAGAATTGCACAGGTTTTCCCCTTTGGGATAGCATTTTATAATTTAATGACCTTTCAATGTTTTACCACGTGGAAAAGTGATGCCTGAAAAGTCAACAACTGCTTTTGATTTAATATCGTAAAACAACAAATTGTAAGCCATGCTAGGCAATAAGCGAACTGAATTTCAGTGAGGGACAAGATACAGGACACCAAAAGTGATATGTGAGGGCGAGTAAAGAGTCCTTAAATATACCAGCACTACCCTTATGTATTTTTGTCACAATAACGCAGCCACTGGCTCCTAATAACAGTTATATCATTTAACTCTTCTGGTTGCAGCGTGGAAAGCATTTACGAAGAATTCAAACAGAAATTAGAGATACTCGACGATCTAGTCGAACAGGTTGAGGAAACCAAAGCAGAGGTAGCGGAGGTCAAAACGACTGTAATAAAACAGGACAAGGAAATCAAAACTGTGAAAAAGGATGTTAAGACGGTCGAGGAAGACGTTAAAGTGGTGAAACAAGACCTGGAGGAGACGAAGATCAAGGTGGAAGAAGTCGACAACAAGGTAGGCTTTGGTTAAGGTATAGGGACAGATCTGTATTCTGGGAAGTTACTGTTTACCGAAAGTGTTTCGCCCATTTAGATATTTGCTCTTCACTGGTAAAATCCGTTTTCGCCCAGTGTTAATTTCGCCCTTCACATGTAATATAGAATTATGTGTACTTATACTCGCTGTCATGTCAAATTCACCCTTTGGAGAACGAATGATGGCTTAAGTTAAACTAAATCGAAAACTGATCTCGAAATATTATGACATCGGACATTATGACGCTTAATATTGGTTAATGATTATAATTTTTCACTGTCAGTTTCATCTATATAGTGTTCATTTTTTTCTCATTTGCAATTTTACAGACAATGACAAATGCCCCTAAATGGTCAAGAGATCTGACCAAGCTGATGAACCCTAAAACGGAACATGACTGGAGACTTTTGGCCAAGAGGTTGGGCTATTCACCACAGGACATTAAGGGCTGGGCGACCCAGCATGACCCCTGTATGGGCCTCCTCAGTGAGTGGTATGCTACCCACAAAACGATAGAGGCCACCCATGCCATATTGAACAGTCTGCAGGAGATGAACAGGCTGGATGGTGCCGCCATTGTTGAGAACGCCATGAAGGCAGTAGGTCAGTTACCAATGGAGATAAGTGCTTGCTGATTTTGTGAGTAGTGATTATATTATGTAAATAACGACCATGATCGGTATCAGTGTTTTCGTTCAGATGAGATACTTTATAATAGGATACAGTTAGCATGGAAACCTGTTCAGTTTGACTAGTTCAAGGTTTGGTTCATAAATAGTTTAAAAGACATTAAATTACACTGTATAAGTATAATTTTGATAATAGTGATATGCTTATTTTTTATGACACGCCTTCGTTTTACATGAATTGGTTTACACAGGGTTCCATGTTATATAGGTTCTAGTTAAGACAGGTATATTTGTTTTATGTGATAATTTGATTTGAAGCACATTTCAATCGATTCAAAATAATACGGTGTTTGAGTAAAAGATCATTATTTTGTTGGGATTATTAAATTCAAAAATGTAATGTGTTATTTAAGTGCTGGAGTTGAAACAATATCATTAACAAGAATCTTTCCTCTAGAACTCTTCTTAGTAATTGGTAGAGGACTGTATCTTACTGTACCTTATGTGTTTCTTTTTTTTTCCACCAGAGGGTGTTGTGGAGGAGGAGGTAGACTACGCCACACCTCCACCGATCTTCCTTAGTTACCAGTGGGGTCATCAGGAAGAGGTCAAGTTACTACGGAACCATATGTTAATGGCCGGCTACGAGTGTTGGATGGACATCGGACAAATGGGAGGTGGAGACAAACTGTTTGAAAAGATTGACAACGGAATCCGTGGTGCAAAGGTCATCATATGTTGTGTATCAGAGAAGTACGCCAACTCTCCCAACTGTAACAGAGAGGTGAGCAGTCAGCAGCACGCAGGAATTTGCTCTGATTTGTTCTGTTTCAGATGTAGTTAAAATAATTTTATTTGAAATATTTCAGGATTGTGTTATGGACAGAACTGTTTATTTTGATGTTTGAAATATTGTTAATACAAAACGGAATATTTTGCTAATTGTCTAAATCAAAATGTTAATATGATAATATAAAATAAGCTCAGAATAACGAATGAAAGTCAGGAATAGGAAACAAGTACATGTCTACTTGTATCAAGGCACGGCATTTATTAATTTTAAAGGTGAACCTGTCTGTAAACCTTGGAAAGCCCATGATTCCCCTTCTGATGGAGAAGATGGGCTGGCCCCCTAGAGGCTCCATGGGACCCATCTTCAGTGAGTACCTGTTTGTGAGATTTTTCCAGCGAGGAGGGGAGGAGACTGAAGACCAACGCTACTGGCCAGTCCCAAAATTCCAGGAACTGTTGATGCAGCTCAACATGTATAAAGCCATGCCTGACGAATCCCTCATGTCTGGAGGTGTGTGGATTTTTAAATTGTTTGATATCCTTATTTGTTTGTGTTTTGCAACTACATAACACAATGGCAGATTATACTAACATACCAACTCGAGCACGTCATCATCGCCATCATACAAAATTCACATTCATACACTTGGACACATCTGGGCAGGACTAACATATCTTATATACAATCAACATAGATTTATTATAAGTTCTCTACTTGACAAGTTCTAGTCACGCCCTACCCTTTCCTGCTTTTACTTTCTTACTTGCCTAAAGTGGAAGGTTCTTTTATATGTTCGACTTCAAGTAATTGAATGAATTTAAACATACTAGGTCATTAAAAGTAATATTGCTTCATGAAATTAGAATGAATGTCTTCATAACGACAACAAAGACTTCTCAAACGTAGAACAATAGCATTAAGTAGGTAGGTTTTATGTAGGAAAGAATAAAAGTAGCGGTTGGTAGATATAAACCACATATAGTAGTAACTGGTCGGTAGATAAAAATCCCATATAGTAGTAGCTGGTCGGTAGATTTAAACCACATAAAATAGTATCTGGTCGGTGGATATAAACTACATATAGTAGTTACTGTCAGTAGATATAAACCACATATAGTAGTAGCTGGTCGGTAGATATAAACTACACATAGTAGTAGCTGGTCGGTAGATATAAATCACAAGGAAGTACATCCCTAGTTGAATAACCAATGTCATATAGTAGTAACTGGTCGGTAGATATAAATCACATGAAGTAGTAGCAGGTCGGTAGATATAAACCACATATAGTAGTAGCTGGTCGGTAGATATAAACTACATATAGTAGTAGCTGGTCGGTAGATATAAACCACATATAGTAGTAGCTGGTCGGTAGATATAAACCACATATAGTAGTAGCTGGTCGGTAGATATAAACCACATATAGTAGTAGCTGGTCGGTAGATATAAACCACATATAGTAGTAGCTGGTCGGTAGATATAAACCACATATAGTAGTAGCTGGTCGGTAGATATAAACCACATATAGTAGTAGCTGGTCGGTAGATATAAACCACATATAGTAGTAGCTGGTCGGTAGATATAAACCACATATAGTAGTAGCTGGTCGGTAGATATAAACCACATATAGTAGTAGCTGGTCGGTAGATATAAACCACATATAGTAGTAGCTGGTCGGTAGATATAAACCACATATAGTAGTAGCTGGTCGGTAGATATAAACCACATATAGTAGTAGCTGGTCGGTAGATATAAACCACATATAGTAGTAGCTGGTCGGTAGATATAAACCACATATAGTAGTAGCTGGTCGGTAGATATAAACCACATATAGTAGTAGCTGGTCGGTAGATATAAACCACATATAGTAGTAGCTGGTCGGTAGATATAAACCACATATAGTAGTAGCTGGTCGGTAGATATAAACCACATATAGTAGTAGCTGGTCGGTAGATATAAACCACATATAGTAGTAGCTGGTCGGTAGATATAAACCACATATAGTAGTAGCTGGTCGGTAGATATAAACCACATATAGTAGTAGCTGGTCGGTAGATATAAACCACATATAGTAGTAGCTGGTCGGTAGATATAAACCACATATAGTAGTAGCTGGTCGGTAGATATAAACCACATATAGTAGTAGCTGGTCGGTAGATATAAACCACATATAGTAGTAGCTGGTCGGTAGATATAAACCACATATAGTAGTAGCTGGTCGGTAGATATAAACCACATATAGTAGTAGCTGGTCGGTAGATATAAACCACATATAGTAGTAGCTGGTCGGTAGATATAAACCACATATAGTAGTAGCTGGTCGGTAGATATAAACCACATATAGTAGTAGCTGGTCGGTAGATATAAACCACATATAGTAGTAGCTGGTCGGTAGATATAAACCACATATAGTAGTAGCTGGTCGGTAGATATAAACCACATATAGTAGTAGCTGGTCGGTAGATATAAACCACATATAGTAGTAGCTGGTCGGTAGATATAAACCACATATAGTAGTAGCTGGTCGGTAGATATAAACCACATATAGTAGTAGCTGGTCGGTAGATATAAACCACATATAGTAGTAGCTGGTCGGTAGATATAAACCACATATAGTAGTAGCTGGTCGGTAGATATAAACCACATATAGTAGTAGCTGGTCGGTAGATATAAACCACATATAGTAGTAGCTGGTCGGTAGATATAAACCACATATAGTAGTAGCTGGTCGGTAGATATAAACCACATATAGTAGTAGCTGGTCGGTAGATATAAACCACATATAGTAGTAGCTGGTCGGTAGATATAAACCACATATAGTAGTAGCTGGTCGGTAGATATAAACCACATATAGTAGTAGCTGGTCGGTAGATATAAACCACATATAGTAGTAGCTGGTCGGTAGATATAAACCACATATAGTAGTAGCTGGTCGGTAGATATAAACCACATATAGTAGTAGCTGGTCGGTAGATATAAACCACATATAGTAGTAGCTGGTCGGTAGATATAAACCACATATAGTAGTAGCTGGTCGGTAGATATAAACCACATATAGTAGTAGCTGGTCGGTAGATATAAACCACATATAGTAGTAGCTGGTCGGTAGATATAAACCACATATAGTAGTAGCTGGTCGGTAGATATAAACCACATATAGTAGTAGCTGGTCGGTAGATATAAACCACATATAGTAGTAGCTGGTCGGTAGATATAAACCACATATAGTAGTAGCTGGTCGGTAGATATAAACCACATATAGTAGTAGCTGGTCGGTAGATATAAACCACATATAGTAGTAGCTGGTCGGTAGATATAAACCACATATAGTAGTAGCTGGTCGGTAGATATAAACCACATATAGTAGTAGCTGGTCGGTAGATATAAACCACATATAGTAGTAGCTGGTCGGTAGATATAAACCACATATAGTAGTAGCTGGTCGGTAGATATAAACCACATATAGTAGTAGCTGGTCGGTAGATATAAACCACATATAGTAGTAGCTGGTCGGTAGATATAAACCACATATAGTAGTAGCTGGTCGGTAGATATAAACCACATATAGTAGTAGCTGGTCGGTAGATATAAACCACATATAGTAGTAGCTGGTCGGTAGATATAAACCACATATAGTAGTAGCTGGTCGGTAGATATAAACCACATATAGTAGTAGCTGGTCGGTAGATATAAACCACATATAGTAGTAGCTGGTCGGTAGATATAAACCACATATAGTAGTAGCTGGTCGGTAGATATAAACCACATATAGTAGTAGCTGGTCGGTAGATATAAACCACATATAGTAGTAGCTGGTCGGTAGATATAAACCACATATAGTAGTAGCTGGTCGGTAGATATAAACCACATATAGTAGTAGCTGGTCGGTAGATATAAACCACATATAGTAGTAGCTGGTCGGTAGATATAAACCACATATAGTAGTAGCTGGTCGGTAGATATAAACCACATATAGTAGTAGCTGGTCGGTAGATATAAACCACATATAGTAGTAGCTGGTCGGTAGATATAAACCACATATAGTAGTAGCTGGTCGGTAGATATAAACCACATATAGTAGTAGCTGGTCGGTAGATATAAACCACATATAGTAGTAGCTGGTCGGTAGATATAAACCACATATAGTAGTAGCTGGTCGGTAGATATAAACCACATATAGTAGTAGCTGGTCGGTAGATATAAACCACATATAGTAGTAGCTGGTCGGTAGATATAAACCACATATAGTAGTAGCTGGTCGGTAGATATAAACCACATATAGTAGTAGCTGGTCGGTAGATATAAACCACATATAGTAGTAGCTGGTCGGTAGATATAAACCACATATAGTAGTAGCTGGTCGGTAGATATAAACCACATATAGTAGTAGCTGGTCGGTAGATATAAACCACATATAGTAGTAGCTGGTCGGTAGATATAAACCACATATAGTAGTAGCTGGTCGGTAGATATAAACCACATATAGTAGTAGCTGGTCGGTAGATATAAACCACATATAGTAGTAGCTGGTCGGTAGATATAAACCACATATAGTAGTAGCTGGTCGGTAGATATAAACCACATATAGTAGTAGCTGGTCGGTAGATATAAACCACATATAGTAGTAGCTGGTCGGTAGATATAAACCACATATAGTAGTAGCTGGTCGGTAGATATAAACCACATATAGTAGTAGCTGGTCGGTAGATATAAACCACATATAGTAGTAGCTGGTCGGTAGATATAAACCACATATAGTAGTAGCTGGTCGGTAGATATAAACCACATATAGTAGTAGCTGGTCGGTAGATATAAACCACATATAGTAGTAGCTGGTCGGTAGATATAAACCACATATAGTAGTAGCTGGTCGGTAGATATAAACCACATATAGTAGTAGCTGGTCGGTAGATATAAACCACATATAGTAGTAGCTGGTCGGTAGATATAAACCACATATAGTAGTAGCTGGTCGGTAGATATAAACCACATATAGTAGTAGCTGGTCGGTAGATATAAACCACATATAGTAGTAGCTGGTCGGTAGATATAAACCACATATAGTAGTAGCTGGTCGGTAGATATAAACCACATATAGTAGTAGCTGGTCGGTAGATATAAACCACATATAGTAGTAGCTGGTCGGTAGATATAAACCACATATAGTAGTAGCTGGTCGGTAGATATAAACCACATATAGTAGTAGCTGGTCGGTAGATATAAACCACATATAGTAGTAGCTGGTCGGTAGATATAAACCACATATAGTAGTAGCTGGTCGGTAGATATAAACCACATATAGTAGTAGCTGGTCGGTAGATATAAACCACATATAGTAGTAGCTGGTCGGTAGATATAAACCACATATAGTAGTAGCTGGTCGGTAGATATAAACCACATATAGTAGTAGCTGGTCGGTAGATATAAACCACATATAGTAGTAGCTGGTCGGTAGATATAAACCACATATAGTAGTAGCTGGTCGGTAGATATAAACCACATATAGTAGTAGCTGGTCGGTAGATATAAACCACATATAGTAGTAGCTGGTCGGTAGATATAAACCACATATAGTAGTAGCTGGTCGGTAGATATAAACCACATATAGTAGTAGCTGGTCGGTAGATATAAACCACATATAGTAGTAGCTGGTCGGTAGATATAAACCACATATAGTAGTAGCTGGTCGGTAGATATAAACCACATATAGTAGTAGCTGGTCGGTAGATATAAACCACATATAGTAGTAGCTGGTCGGTAGATATAAACCACATATAGTAGTAGCTGGTCGGTAGATATAAACCACATATAGTAGTAGCTGGTCGGTAGATATAAACCACATATAGTAGTAGCTGGTCGGTAGATATAAACCACATATAGTAGTAGCTGGTCGGTAGATATAAACCACATATAGTAGTAGCTGGTCGGTAGATATAAACCACATATAGTAGTAGCTGGTCGGTAGATATAAACCACATATAGTAGTAGCTGGTCGGTAGATATAAACCACATATAGTAGTAGCTGGTCGGTAGATATAAACCACATATAGTAGTAGCTGGTCGGTAGATATAAACCACATATAGTAGTAGCTGGTCGGTAGATATAAACCACATATAGTAGTAGCTGGTCGGTAGATATAAACCACATATAGTAGTAGCTGGTCGGTAGATATAAACCACATATAGTAGTAGCTGGTCGGTAGATATAAACCACATATAGTAGTAGCTGGTCGGTAGATATAAACCACATATAGTAGTAGCTGGTCGGTAGATATAAACCACATATAGTAGTAGCTGGTCGGTAGATATAAACCACATATAGTAGTAGCTGGTCGGTAGATATAAACCACATATAGTAGTAGCTGGTCGGTAGATATAAACCACATATAGTAGTAGCTGGTCGGTAGATATAAACCACATATAGTAGTAGCTGGTCGGTAGATATAAATCACATATAGTAGTAGCTGGTCGGTAGATACAAATCACATATAGTAGTAGCTGGTCGGTAGATATAAAACACATATAGTAGTAGCTGGTCGGTAGATACAAATCACATATAGTAGTAGCTGGTCGGTAGATATAAACCACATATAGCAGTAGCTGGTCGGTAGATACAAATCACATATAGTAGTAGCTGGTCGGTAGATATAAACCGCATTTAGTCTCAATGCATACTGAACTGTATTGTAACAAAACATGTTTTTGTGCACACAGAGTACAAGGACTGGTGGGTCCCCGTGGCTGAAGAAATTGTCATCACCAAAAGGAAAGATGGAGGTCAAAGTTCTCAAGTACAGACAACTGCAACCAAGGTTTGTTATACAGGCGAATTTCAACAGTACAAAAATTATGTACATTTCTCTTTTTTTCTGTGTATGTCTCGGACCACTTTAAGGTCATTGGAGTGTATTGATAAACGGAAACAGGAAGTACATCCCTAGTTGAATAACCAATGTAGGGAGACAGCATCATAATTTCCGCAAATTCTAATGTTTAATATTAAACTGATGAATACTGTATGTTTATTATTGACAGAACAGTGTGTTCTCTCAATATTAAAGTTGTTCAAAGCAATCCAGGCATTGATTCAGGTTTTTTTTATCAATGAGCCACATGTGTCCATTTTTCTGTACTTCAGGAAACCGGCTACCTATTTCACTACTGTGAAGTTTTTCAAGAACGATAACTCTTACCTGCAATTACTATGTGTATTTGGTTTTATTATAAAATGTCAATTTTTATATCGTGTATAGATAATTAATTTTACACAATTTCAGCATTTATTAAATTGATATACATTAATGCAATACTTATATATGTCAGTATCATTTTTATTGACATTATTTTGTAAAAATATTGTGTCTTTCCTTTTTTTAAACATGTGGTTCGGTCGAATTCATAAGTTCATATTTATTGTGTTTTAACACCCGCGGAGCGTGTTTGCTGGAGATTCTGGCAACATGTCCAACTATCCGTCTCCGTCCGTCGTCGAGCGTAATTCATTTTTATTTCATTGATACTTCATGGGAATGTTACTGACACCTCCCTGACCAAGTGTTATTATTTTTCGAGTCGATCAGAAATCCAATATGGCCGCAACGGTCGCCATTTTGAAAAACTATTTCAAACTTAAAAGTCAAGTTCTACTGTGCCGATTTAACTGAAACTCGGTAGGAATGATCGACTCATGGTCTTGACAAAGTGTTGTTATTTTTCGGGTCGATCAGAAATCCAATATGGCCATCACGGCCGCCATGTTTTAAAAAATATTTCAAACTTAAAATTCAAGTTCTACTGGGCCGATTTAACTGAAACTTGGTAGGAATGATCGCCACTGCTGCCTTTTGAATAGAAAAATATTTCAAGCTTAAAATCAAGTTCTAATAGGCCGTTTTACTATGTTTCATACAAAGTCGGGGCATTTGTTATTCCCGTCAATGTACCCGTGTGGCAATGTATATGTCCGTGTCAGTATCAGGAGCATATCTCGGTCAATCCTTCCTGTCTGGCCGCCAGACTCTGAATATTGGTATATCATGGGAATTAAGTATCTTTGTTGTAAACCAAAATGACCACATAATCCTGGATATCATGCTCGGTATGGTTATACATACTGGTCAAGCGGCGTGGTGCCTACCTAGATGGAGTTTCTGTAGTCACTTTTCTACGGTGTGGTGCCTACCTAGATGGGGTTTCTGTAGTCACTTTTCTACGGTGTGGTGCCTACCTAGATGGGGTTTCTGTAGTCACTTTTCTACGGTGTGGTGCCTACCTAGATGGGGTTTCTGTAGTCACTTTTCTACGGTGTGGTGCCTACCTAGATGGGGTTTCTGTAGTCACTTTTCTACGGTGTGGTGCCTACCTAGATGGGGTTTCTGTAGTCACTTTTCTACGGTGTGGTGCCTACCTAGATGGGGTTTCTGTAGTCACTTTTCTATATTTTTTCGCACTAAAACTTGTGCGGTACACGAAAACCCCTGTTTGAGTTAAATATCTTTTATCATATTTGTAATCTCAAGCTGAAAAGAAAATAACATACACTTCTATTGTCCTTCCGAAAGAGAGTTTAATTGGACCTTTGACTATAATCGGTGTTGCGCGAGTTCTAAAACTTCAATAATTTGTTATAAATATTGTGTTAAAGTAACTATACAGTATCGTTTGATTTCAGGAGGAGGAGGAGGAGTCTCCTGACGTGTTCCTGTCGTACCAGTGGGGTAAACAGAATCAGATCAAGCAGCTGTACAGGAGGCTGAATGAGCTCGGATACAGCTGCTGGATGGATATCTACCAGATGGGAGGCGGGGACTCGCTGTACGACAAAATTGACAGGGGTGTCCGTGGCTGTAAGGTTGTCCTGAGCTGTGTGACAACCAAGTATGCACTGTCTGCCAACTGTCGCAGGGAGGTGAGTCTGGCCGATTCTCTCAAGAAGCCAATGGTTCCTCTCCTCCTGGAGAAGATAGACTGGCCCCCCACTGGACCTATGAGTATGGTCTTCACACAGCTTCTCTTTATCAATTTCTACCGTGACGAGACAGTCCAAATTACATGGGTTGGAGATAAATTTGAGGAGTTGCACATGAAAATAAAAGAGAATGTCGCCCCATTTGCAATTGAAAATTCAAAGATTGACAACAAGGATACGCCAAGTGAAACCCTAAAAGATAAAACTCCTAAAAAGGGGCCACCTTCGAAACAGGAGCCCCCGAAAGTCGAGCAAAAGAAGGAACCACCTAAAATGGAACAAAAAAAGGCTCCTCAAACAAAACAACAAGGAAAGGGGTCAATGAAAACAGGACCAGCTCATAAAACAGAATCTAGAAATGATTGGCCAAAACAAGCATCTCCTAAACAGGAACCGATACAAGTCTCACCAAATGAAGACCCGAAACCAGCAGAGCAACCAACACAAACATCATCATCCTGTGTGCTAATCTAACACCTGTAATAGCACAACAAACAATAGTAATCCTGTGTGCTTATCTATCTAACTCCTGTAATAGCACAATAAACAATAGGAATCCTGTGTGCTTATCTAACATCTGTAATAGCACAATAATCAATAGTAAATATCTGTGCCTATCTAACACATTGAATAACAAAATAAACAATTATCAGCCTGTGTTCTTATCTAACACCTGGAATATCTCAATAAAGCATAGTAATCCTGTGTTCTTATCTAACTCCTGTAATAGCACAATAAACAATTGTAATCCTGTGTGCTAATCTAACACCTGTAATAGCACAATAATCAATAGTAAATATCTGTGCCTATCTAACACATTGAATAACAAAATAAACAATTATCAGCCTGTGTTCTTATCTAACACCTGAAATAGCACAATAAACAATAGTAACCCGGTGTGCTTATCTAACACCTGTAATAGCACAACAAACAATAGTAATCCTGTGTGCTTATCTATCTAACTCCTGTAATAGCACAATAAACAATTGTAATCCTGTGTGCTAATCTAACACCTGTAATAGCACAACAAACAATAGTAATCCTGTGTGCTTATCTATCTAACTCCTGTAATAGCACAATAAACAATTGTAATCCTGTGTGCTAATCTAACACCTGTAATAGCACAACAAACAATAGTAATCCTGTGTGCTTATCTAACACCTGTAATAGCTCAATAAACAATAGTAATCCTGTGGTCTTATCTAACACCTGTAATAGCACAACAAACAATAGTAATCCTGTGTGCTTATCTATCTAACTCCTGTAATAGCACAATAAACAATAGTTATCCTGTGTGCTTATCTATCTAACACCTGTAATAGCACAATCATCAATAGTAAATATCTGTGCCTATCTAACACATTGAATAACAAAATAAACAATTATCAGCCTGTGTTCTTATCTAACACCTGAAATAGCACAATAAACAATAGTAATCCTGAGTGCTTATCTAACACCTGTAATAGCTCAATAAACAATAGTAATCCTGTGTTCTTATCTAACTCCTGTAATAGCACAATAAACAATTGTAATCCTGTGTGCTAATCTAACACCTGTAATAGCACAATAAACAATTGTAATCCTGTGTGCTAATCTAACACCTGTAATAGCACAACAAACAATAGTAATCCTGTGTGCTTATCTAACGCCTGTTATAGCACAATAAACAATAGTAACCCTGAGTGCTTATCTAACACCTGTAATAGCACAATCATCAATAGTAAATATCTGTGCCTATCTAACACATTGAATAACAAAATAAACAATTATCAGCCTGTGTTCTTATCTAACACCTGTAATAGCACAACAAACAATAGTAATCCTGTGTGCTTATCTAACCCCTGTAATAGCACAATAAACAATTGTAATCCTGTGTGCTAATCTAACACCTGTAATAGCACAACAAACAATAGTAATCCTGTGTGCTTATCTAACGCCTGTTATAGCACAATAAACAATAGGAATCCTGTGTGCTTATCTAACACCTGTAATAGCACAATAAACAATAGTAATCCTGTGTGCCTATCTTACACCTTGAATAACAAAATAAGCAATAATTAGCCCGTGTGCTTTCTAACACGGGGTACCACGAACGAGTATTTATTTCTCATCAGTTTTAAAAATTCATTGTCAAAATACTCCAAACGCAAAAAATGTGTGCCATATTGAATACCTCGATATTTTATTTGATTCTTTGTGATATTGGATATGCAGTATTATTTCTTTGTGATATTGAATGTATTGTATTATTTGTAATATTTAATATTATATTTTCTTTGTGATTTTGAATATTTTATATTATTTTCTTTGTGATATTGAATAATTATGTTGTATTGTTTTCTTTGTTATATTGAATATGTTGTATTATCTCTTTGTGATATTGAATGCATTGTTATTTGTAATATTGAATATTTTATATTATTTTCTTTGTGATATTGAATATGCTGTATACTTTTCTTTATGATATTGACTAAATAGCATGACTTTCGGCCTTATTATGTGGTAGTTTATATTGTTACAGTTGTGTGCCATAAATCGTATAATCAAGGTTGTTTTGTGCCATAGATACACATAATTATGTATACAATTGAACCTCTTTGTGTCATATTAAACACGCCTTTAGAAAATAGTGCATAACATGATATTACATTGTATCAAAGATTTTAAGGAATTCAATCTCAATTAAAAAATTGCAGGTTTTTAAAATTATTTTTTTATTTAAAAAAAATAGCGTTTACTGTGATATTTATTTTGTCTTTTTGTATCGCGTTTCATGCATGGATCAGTTTTAATATTCTGTAATAAACACAAAATCACTGTCAATTTCACTGTATTATACTTAATATGATTTATGCAATTTGTTTTAGACAGAAACATAAATGAAGTTTTGCGAGGAAGAGAAGAAAATGAAAAAGTAAATGTTGTTGAAGGCACTGCTTTCCTCGTCCTAGTAATGTCTCAATGGAATTCATAGTTCCGCATGAATGAAGTCTAGATTTTAATACCATATAAGACCAATGTCTTTATAGGGACCATTACAGCGTTTCTGTTTTCTTGAAGATTGTGGGCTCGAATTCTGTACTATTTCCAGATGTAACTTTGCACCTTAGATTAACGTTTTGCATGGACGAGAAAGGAATAAGAATTTTGTGCTTGAATCTACTTCCGCTCACCGTAGTTCTAGCTCTTAATTCAATTAAAAAAGTTAGACGTGTTTCATGTTCTATTTGAAAGGCTGGGTATGATATACTTGTATTTCTTACACGGAACTAATATATGCTTCCAATACAAAAAGTGGTTTTTTTCAGAAACTAAGGGTACACTGAAACAAAAAGGAAAAAAAATCAGAAACTAAGTGTACACCGAAACAAAAAGGAAAACAAAAATCAGAAATTAAGGGTACACTGAAACAAAAAGGAAAACAAAAATCAGAAACTCAGGGTACACCGAAACAAAAAGGAAAACAAAAATCAGAAACTCAGGGTACACCGAAACAAAAAGAATAGACAAACTTAGAAACTAAGGGTACACCGACACAAAAAGTATAGACATTATCAGAAACTATGGGTACAGCGAAACAAAAAGGATAGACATAATCAGAAACTATGGGTACAGCGAAACAAAAAAGGATAGACATAATCAGAAACTAAGGGTACACCAAAACAAAAAGGAAAACAAACTTAGAAACTAAGGGTACACCGAAACAAAAAGGAAAACAAAAATCAGAATCTAAGCGTACACCGAAACAAAACAAAAGAAATCATCCTGGCAACCAAATTGAAGAAAACAAGACTAATTAACAACCACAATAACAAAAACGGGTCACAGAGAAAGAAAATGGAAATCGTTTATTCCATGTCTATTCCGTATGGTGTCAAATTGACGACTACCTGTAAGTAGACGGTTCCTTTCTTTTGTCCAGTTTTTGTTACAAGGTTTGACGAAATTACTATGGAATGTTAAGCATATACATATTACTTCCTAATTCTATTTGGTATAAGGCCGGAAATTGAATCATCGTTTGGAGACGACTACGCGTTAATGAACACGAATGATTTACTTACGATTTTGTTATCGACATGGTTAAATGGCCATCCATATAAATTACTCAAGTATTCAGATTTAATAGGGTGACATTATTCTCGTCGTTTAGTCCTAGATAACTATCTCCTTTTATTCTCCCATCGACAGATTATACGATATTTTATCACATTAATTTACGTTATTTGATCACATCAATTCCTCTACAAATGAACTCCTGAGAGTGAGCGAAACACCTGGAGTATCGAGAATGTTGTAAACGTGAATTACATGAAAACATTTCTTTTATAATTATCACTTTATGCTGGAATTAAAAGTGATGCCCATTTTTTGGGAATTCAACTTTTTGTTAAGCATCAGACTGGAATAGATAAAGTAGCGGTCTGTTAGTGAATGTATAAAATTAGGAGTTCTGTAGTCATTATTGCTTCTAGTGACGAAGCCGATATTTTTACTGATAGTAGGCGGCAAATGATACATATTCAGGGATTGAAGTATTAATTGTCATCGTCAATAAAAAAAATAAAAAAAAAATGTCAAAGATTTTTTTGTTTTTCATTTATTAGTAAGAGATGATGTACCTGTTTCAAAATACAAACCATTCCTACAGGCATTCTCTAACTTTATAGCTATCTCCCTTATTGTCTATAGAAACGTTACTAATCAAGTTTTAGGCCTTACACGTAGAGACTTGAGGTCCTCAGTGATCTGCTGAGCACATTGCAACACTTGGGATATGAATATTTTCTCAGTCTCCTACTCTACAGCGATGTCTCTCCAGGCCCGCGTTGTCATGTGACCCTGGCTGTTTCGAGGACGTAGCCCCCAAACAAACAATTCAAGACATGGCAAATTATGATGAGACATGTAATGGCATTGATACAAATTAAGAAATGTAGTTATATACATATCATATATCTATATAGGTCTTATAAATAAAAACAACATTATGATCTAATATTGGCACTGGATCCGAACAAACAGATGCCTATTACTTAAATAGATATATGGGCAAAGGAGTAATAACGACAGTGCACTGACGATATTTCTTCTTTAATGTTTATTTGTACATGCCTCAAATACACAATAGCACACTTGTTAAACTTTGACCTGTTAACTGAACCCATTATTCGTGGTTAACTAAGGTCACAACTGCTACAGAGGAATATATTGAATGGCTAATATGTCGGTTGAGGATTGTAGCCATTGTGCTGTTGTTATCTTAACGAAAATCTGCCATACGATATGCTCAATGAGTGTCATTCCGCTGATAGGTCATGTTACAAATAGTACGCCTGGATCTGCTATACAGGAATTTACTGATTTACCACGCAGAATCGATAATAGAGGTTGTAGAGGATTTCTTTTTGACAAATCTATCTAAATATATATCGTGATTCAATGAGTATTTATGTAGACTATTCACATTTATCCGAATGACAATAACATACTACCCAATCCCCATTTACTTCACAACAATATAAGATTACGACCGTATCTGTTCGGAGGTATGGCGTCTACAGTCCAATACTTTTGGTTACTTCGTGGACTCGCTCTCGCAATAGCCTAATACTACCTCCAAAACTAGCTTCATTTGACCGTTACTGGCGCTATCTTA